TTATATAAATTATATAATTATTATAATGATATAATTTATAATTTATATACATATAAAATTTATATTTTGCTTTACAGATGTTACGTATTCTGTGATTTCCTAAATAATCTCACCTAATAACCATCTTCTGCTTAATCACAACCCAAGAATTTTGCCCAATAACATGCCTTACATCTCCCTTCAATGCAGTAAACAAAATATTTTTCAGACAATTGAAAAAAAAAAAGCAGCTTTCTTATCACAGTTTTCCATCCTCAAGAGCCGCAGTGATCTTTTTGAGTTCAGGGAATAGCACATATAACCACAGTTTTCTTTTCATGATAAGGAACTGCCTAACCTTTGTAGACAAACAGCATCCTATAAACTTAGAGATTATAACTTAACTCTTCCAGTAACATGTAACCTGCTGTTAAAGAAAATAACATACAAAGAGAAAAAAAAAATCAAACCATCAGCTTGGTAAATTGGGTAGAGACAGGATAAAAAGAAATCCCAGTCCACATGTATGTAAAAGTTCTATTTCGAAGAAAAATAACTGTTCCTAAATAGCAATATAGGAAGAAGACACTTTCTGAGAATAGAAGTATAGAGTAAGAAAGTGTGCGTTTTCACCAGATATTCATGGAGAACATTCTTTGACCTTAGGATATACTGAAGCAATAATCAAGGCAGCAAAAGCTGAAAGCCTCAAAGCAATCTGCAAAGGATTCCTACAAAAAGCTTCATCAGCTGAGGATGCAATATCATGCTTAGTGAAACAGAAATTCAGGAAGTGCCTTAAGGAATGTGAAAGTTATCCCTGAAAATTCTAGAGGTAAACCGTGATTCCCTTCTCAGCAGTGGTTTATCAATGGTGGTTTGGTATAAAAAGACCATGCATGTATTGAGCCATCTGGAAATGGTGAATGGTACGGATCTTCCTACCAATTATTTTCCCATGAGATGAAATAAGTAAGAACTCTGGCTTCAGTTATTTTGTCTAATTAAAAATGGAAAGGTTATATGGAAATCTTAATTAACCTTTAGTAAAAAGGAAGGTTCTTAACTGGGAGACCATTTTATTTGAAATAGATTCAGTCAAAGTTAAGGAGCTGGCTTCCAAGATATGTATTTGAATAACAGAAAGCTTATCAAAGTCTGTTAATTATTTTTTAAAAGTCCATGCTAAGTTGAGAAAAGTCCTTTTATTACTTTGAAAGAATTTAGTAAACAAATATTACTCTTTACATCTGTATCTTCAATTACAGTGAAGATTCAAAGAGATACTTTAAGATATGTTCAAAGGTTTGGGGGTATTTGATTAGATTTCTGGCATTCTATTGGAAAAATGTCCACGTCTTCATATCTTGAATTATTTTTTAAATATCTCATCACCACCTTTAATCAAAGGTAAAAACTGTATTTGAGCAAGCCTCAATTAATATTCAAATTGTATTCACTGGTTACTTATAATGCTGTAATATAAATGAATAGAGTAACTTACCATATTCACAAGATTGCTGTAAGTCTGAAATTATTCTAAGGATATTATTCATTAAGTTTGATCTCTGCTCATTTTCTAGAATACTTCCTGTTGATGGATATGCTGAGTCAATATACGTCAAGTCTGAGAGATAAATACCTGAAGATGAATTAAAGGGATTTTTATCATATAGGGCACTGAAAGTTACAGGTAGACCTTGCTTACTGACTGCCTCATTTAGCAACTGCTTGAAGTTACAATGGTGTTGGGGGGAAAAAAACCAGCTTTGCAACCAATCCTTTCATTTACGACTGCTGCAGTGTCCAGAGTCATGTGACTGCCATTTGGGTGCTTCGCCACTAGCTTGTGACCAGCCAAGTTAACAGAGAATGAGGAAGTAAAATCGTCACAGTCATGTGATGTTTCGCTTAACAACTGCAGAAGTGTTCTGCAGATTCATTTAATGACTGAAGCAGAAGTGAGGTTGTAAGTCCATTGCAGTCACATGATTTTCTGCTTAGCAACCATGGTGCTTAGCGACAGAATTGCAAGTCCGAACTGTGGTCACTAAGTGAGGACTACCTATAGTTCAAATAATACCACACCCTTCCAGTCCTGCTTCAGTCTGGAAACTAGCTTTTGGGCTTTGAAAACATGTCAGGAAAGTGAAACATTTAAAACTGCCCTTTCATGTAAATGTTTTATATTTCAATTATATAACTAAAAACATATTTACAAGTCAACAGAGTTAAAGTATTTAATTAATGCACCTGTTATCTTTTAAAACTGAACTGCTACATCTCTAAATGATTATAATTATAATTTGTTCTTTGTATTCAACTATAAGAACTTTATATTTGTAGTAACATCATGCAAAATTGACAAGGAGATTGAGGGGCAAACAATGGTTCTCTTAAAAATATTCTTAGCAAAGGTTTGACCATCTGTGTTCCCAAGTTATTGACAAGATATGCTATCAGACCAATCCCAGGTGTGGTCTGCTAGAGACAAGGTTTTATGTAAAAGCTCACTGGCAGATCGTTAAATTACCTGAAATTGGAATAAGCAATAGCTAGGTGTTATTCCCTGTCCTTTAAGAAAAGTATAAAAATGAGACAAAAGCCCCAGTCACCAAACATTAATGTAGATCTAAAGTCCCAGGAATAAAAGATACTGTGCAATGGGCAACTCTAGCGGGTCTGTCTGCTGCCATTTCTGGAGTTTCTGGTGTGTGTGTGTGTGTGTGTGTGTGTGAGAGAGAGAGAGAGAGAGAGAGAGAGAACAAGTGGTCATTGCTTGATGACTGTTCATTTAGTGACCATTTGAAGTTAGGATGGCGCTAAAGCTACTTATGACCGGTCCTTGCACTTATGACCGTCCCAGCACCCTGCAGTCATGTGATCACAATCTGGGCACTTGGCAACCAGCTT